CGGCTAGCAGCAGACTACTCGAGCTCGGGAAGTACGGCGTCGGCACCCTCGTCCCGCCGACGGGGTATCCCGCGTCGTCAAACTGGAACGTCGGGTGGAGAAGATAGTTGACGGCACGATTCGCGTCGCCCAGGCGGAGGCTGTTCATCGCGAGCATGGGGAAATCCCAGCCAAAGGATTCGTCGAGGTCCCACAGCGCCCAGATCCGGGCAGCGGTCTCCTCGAGTGCGGGGCGGTTCAGCGGCGGGCCCGAGGCCGGCGGCGGGAGGAGGCCAAAGATGCCGGCCATGGCCGGGTGGTCTTGCACCGTCGTCGTGTTGGCTGTCCACATGTTGGGGATGTCTTGGTAGACGGGGTAGGTGCCGTCGATGATGGGTAGGGGCGCGAGGTTATCTCTGACGGTGGTCCAGGCTTCCGGGACGGAAGCGTTCTGGCGGGATTTCCAGGCGATGGCGACGTCGAGGCCGAAGCGCCAGTATGCGAGCTCAAAGGTCGGGTTGGCGGTGGCGTTGGGGTTGGTGTTCTCCGAGACCGGGTACATGGGCGGACCGAGGTCGTAGACGCCCGTCGTCTCGTTGAGGAAGGCGTACGAGGCCATAAAGTCCGCCGTCGCGGTGAGGACGGCGTCCCAGTCAGCGAGGGTCTGCGGGGTGGGCGCGTGGCGGTAGGCGAGCTCCGCAAAGTACATTGGGTGCGGCTGCTGCCAGATGAGGAGGGTGTTGATCTCGCCGGGGGCGTCGATGGTAGAGGGGTCCGTCATTTTGCCCCAGCGAGCGCCGGCGTAGCCTTGGATTGAGGCGCGGTTGAGGGAGGTGGGGAGTAGGTGGGTATAGGTTCGGGGGAGGGAGCGGGCGAGGAGGGCGTGGTTGTTCCAGCGGGCGAATTGGAGGGTGTGCCAGAGGATCATTTCCATCTTGGAGCGAGTGTGTGAGCTGGATGTAGTCCCTCATCAAGGGGTTTGGAGGATGGAACTCACATGGAACTTGCCAAACCATCCATTGTTCACGAGACCGGACTCTATGTCCCTGTCAGCACTCTTCTCGGGCGACAGAGAAGTTGATAGGGGGTTTGGATCGCTAAATCACCTTGTGGAGGATAGTCTGACGCCGAGTTCACCGCCACGAGATACTGAGACTGGATTATCCTGCGCTGAAGCTCGGTCGCGTTGGCATCCGATGTCCCCGTTAGGTCTACAAAGGCCCCGTTGTTCCAATAAGCCGGCCACCATTCCCGTGAAGCCGCCACGACGCCGTCAAGCTCGGGGACGGATTCGGGTGCAGACGGCGCAAAACTGGCCGTGAATCGTAGCGTATCCGTCCCACTGGTCGAAAGGACATAGCGATGGCTTCCGTCGGTCGGTGGTTTGATAGCACCACTACCACCAGCGGCGACATCCCACTCAAGTGACAAGTCGTACTGCGTGGTGGTCAAATCGTGATGGATCGTGGCCTTGTTGGTCTCCCCTCCGCCAGGGGTCGATAGGGATGTCTTATGCAGGTCCGTCTGGTTGAAGACGCCTACGAACGGGGCGCCAAACTTGTCGTTTGTCGGGTAGGGAAAGTCGAAGAAGATGGATAAGGCGCCGGAGGAGACCAGGGCTGATTCGACAGACACGGCGACGCTGTCCAAGGACGGGTCGGCCCAGGTTTCGACCTTGACGGTGTGGTTTTTATATATGAAGCTGGAACGGATGACGCCCGTCCACATATCGAGGATCTGTTCCTTGTTGCTAAGCATGTCCTCCGTGACTGTCGTATTGCTGCTGTCGGAAAAGGAGAAGCCGATGGTGCCTAGATTTATACGGTGTGGGTTCTCGCGGAGCCAGTCTGCGATGTCGTTGTTTGAGGGGTTGGCCATGTTGTACTGTACAAGTCGGCCGTGTGTCCACCATTCTGTGCCGTGGTAGTCTATCGTGAAGAGAGTCAGTACATGCTTTCTGGACCCAATACTGTTGTACGCCTCTCGGCCGTGCTATCTCACCTTCGATTTGAGTCTGACCAGGCGTTGTGGGCAAGCTGAAGTTGTGCCATCCCCATGTCGACATCGTCGCAAAGGGGCTGAAGGTCTGGAGACCCGTGATATCGGCACCAAAGGCGAAGTTGCCATTGCCTACCTGCAGAGGCGTCTCAGGGGAACTGGCATTACGGCGAGGGTTGAAGGCTTGGACGACCTTTTGCCTGTCGATTTTGGCCTCGATGAGGCTGCAGAGCAGCGGTAGAAGATGTACAACACGCATGACTGTCACCTTCCAATTGGGAAACATCAAGACCGCATATGGGAAGCCAAATCGATGCGATGTGTATGGTGTCTACCCCGGACATCACGTTACGCGGGGAAATCGCGCTGCTCTTATTTCATCCCCAAGAGATCTGCGGTCCGGCCATGACGACGCGTGAGGCCGGGTCCTCCCCTCTTGTGGTCATGTGTGAAGTTTGTGTCCATTGTTCATGTCCGCCTAGTACTCACCTTTCGGTGTGGTTTGCACCGAAGGCACCAATGCCATGCTATGGATAGGCCCTGAGGAACGATGAGGGGAAAGAGATGAACTACGAATGCGGGGATACATGGTCTCCACTTTGGAATTGAGGCTATTCAAAACCCAGGCCGGCAGAAGTCCTCGTGGAGGATTGAGTTTGTCTGCGGAGAAAACGACAGGGATGCCACAAGTGGGTGACTCGGCTGAATTAACAGTTGAAAGCCTCCAGATGCCCTGAGGCTGGAAGTCGAAGTATAATGGCATCGAAAACTACCAACAGCAATTGGATCTTACCGTCCGCAAATGCAAAATGCCGTAATTCTGGGTCCTGGCTCCGGGAATTAAGAGCCCCACCCGATGTCATCCGGCTGTCCGTCACTGGGGGAAGCGGGACAGGCCCCGGCCTTCAGCCACATCCGGCAGGGGCTAACTGTGGCTGGTGTATCCACCAGCTAGGCTTCTGCAGCCCAGCAACCGCCCCGATTGGGCAAGCGCATAAACATCACTCATCCCTTCGATACAGTAGGGGGGACCCTTTCACAGGCACCTTACCTCATGTCGCCCAAACAGCCAACGCAGCGCACCGTGGATCCAACAACATCTTGATTTGGCATTTCACCTCCAGACTTACCTCCTCCGGTCGCGCAAACAGGATACGAGCATCGAGTCGACACCTTTGGACGTCATATGATTATCTGGTATGTTACAACATCAATGGCATCTCTCTGCGACTTCCCTCTGGATTTCAATTGTTCCATTACCCCGCTAACCACTGGAATGAGCAGCCTTCGACGATAACATTAAACATCGAACCTCCTTTCGCGCGCATTTCGATAATAGACGCCGCCTACCATGGACAGGGTCGCGGGCCTCACAGTGTCAGTACTACACCCAACACCGCATCTATGATGTCCCTTTTGCAATACATCAGTGTGAGGACGGGTTTGCTGGCGGGAATACCACCGCTGCCACCCCCAGTACCGCCAGCTGTACCCGATCCTCCCCCACGGCAATATGGCGGTAGTCTCGTCAATCGAGACGTGACTGTCATCCAGACTCCTGAACCGCAGATCCCAGAACCAGTATTGACAGCTGCTGACGATGACTACGAGGACGGCAGTAACCAGAAAGCGGCTAGGAACCAGTTTCGGGCGCGTACTGTCAAGGGAGCCAACAACGGTGTTGCACTGCGACAGTATGCTGAGGCTACACTTGGAGGCGGCAGCCTGCGTAAGGTTGTGAAGTTGCCTGAAGGCGAAGACGAGAATGAGTGGTTGGCAGTCAATAGTGAGTATCATCCGGGGGAATTAAGAGGTGGACCGAAGGAAACGGCACGACTGACACGACCCAAATGCAGTGGTCGACTTTTACAACCAGATCAACCTCCTCTACGGCGCTATTACCGAATTCTGCTCGCCTCAGTCATGCCCCGAGATGAAGGCAACCGACGAGTTCGAGTACTTGTGGCAGGACAGTGAAAACTACAAGAGGCCGACTAAGATGGCCGCGCCGGACTACATTGAGCACTTGATGGCCTGGGTACAGCGTCACATTGATGACGAGCAAATCCTGCCGAGCAGAATTGGTGTGTATTGCTTTGACATGCTCAACGGGATATTGTTTTTAACATGGACCGCTAGGTGTTGCCTTCCCCAAATCATTTCCCTCAACAGTGCGGCAGATCTTCAAGCGCATGTATCGCGTTTATGCCCACGTCTACTGCCACCACTACGCAGTCATCAGAGAGCTTGGACTGGAGCCCCATCTCAACACGAGTTTCAAGCAGTACGTTCTGTTCGTCGACGAGCACAAATTGGCTAGTGGCAAGGACTTTTATGGTCCTTTGAACGATCTCGCGGAGAAGATGATTGAGAGCGACTGAGACAGGCCAGACGAGCCTTTCGAGAGTGTGAATGCATGCATTGTCTAGGCGTTGGGGAAACACGGATGACACGCCGGTTGGCAAGGTAATAAGGAAGGTCTGATGATTGGCGCGTAGGGCTTTGACACTGCTGAGCCTGTGGACACGGGGCATTGAAGCGGTTATTGTGATATCACTGTAGACTACAAACTGGGTAACGGGTAGTACGGCTTTGGTTGGAGAATTCGAGAATTGAGAATGATCAAATCGCTGTGCATTCTTGAGTATTTTGGGTACACTGCATGGAGTTCCATCTTGAAGTTGTGAGGCTACAAGTGACTTGCTTCGTCCCATTGCACCAGAATTGGCTTTAAAGAGTGGAGCTTGGGCCTGCCTGTTCAGTAACAACGAGCACCTCCGATTTCCACCGACCCGAGCCCTTGACCCGCTTACCTAAGTTGATGCCTTACCACTCAACCAGCAAGCAGCCGCAACGTCCCAAGGCATCAACATCCTAAATTGCCGAAGTTCAAACCTCAACCTCGAAAACCGACGCAAGCTACCACTGCGTCTCGTTCGAATCCAGCCATCCCTTCCCGCCCGTCTCCCATCTTCAATTGAACTCCACCACCCACCACAACCGGAACCTCTCTTTCGCCCGACATGTTCTCGAGACAGGCTGTTCGCACCCTCCGAGCGGCGGCTCCCGCTTCGCGCCTCGTTGCCCGCGCCCCGGCCGTCCGCACCTACGCCGCTGCCGCCGCGACCGAGGCCGTCAAGCCCCCCGTCGCCGTCTTTGGCCTCGACGGCACCTACGCCACTGCCCTGGTACGCACTTGTTCCTCTCGTTATACTGGTTATCCCCTGGACGGAGGGCAATTCAATTGGATCAATTGGCTGGGGGAGGAAGTTGTTGATTGAGAGGATTGATGGGGAATGAGGGAGCTATCCGGAAGGACTTTGAGGCATCGAGGGAAAAACACGACCGGGACGGGAAAACCACTCAAAGATCTTACAGACGGCTAACTTTGCCCGATCACAGTACACCGCCGCCTCCAAGACCTCTTCCCTGGACCCCACGGCCAAGGCCCTGGCCACCCTCGACGCCATCTTCGCCAAGGACCCCAAGTTGACCACCGTCCTCGCCGCGCCCACCCTGACCCCCGAGGACAAGTCCGCCATCGTCGCCGAGCTCACCAAGCAGGCCGGTGCCGGCTCTCAGGAGACCGTCAAGAACTTCCTTGCCGCCCTCGCCGAGAACAACCGCCTCGGCCTCCTCCCCGGCATTACCCAGAAGTTCGCCGAGATCATGAGCGCCGCCCGCGGCGAGGTTGAGCTCACTGTCACCAGCGCCACTGTAGGTTTCCTTTCTCTCAATTGAGACTTGAATATCGGGGCATATGCGGTTCGTCGTTAAGAAATCGAAGACGGACCCGCAATGTCTAGACAGCTGTTGTACCTTGAACGTTGCAACGTATCAACGAGGGAATTTCGCACATGCATTCAGGGACGTCGTTGAAAACATGCCACTGACACCCATTCTCAGCAACTCGACAACAAGACCCTCAACCGCCTCGAGAGCTCCATCGCCAAGTCCTCCTACGTCGGCCAGGGCAAGAAGCTCAAGGTCACCAACAACGTACGTATTATCGCCTTACCCTCGTCTCCGAGCTGTCCCTCCGAGACCATCTCGGTCTAGAAGCTGCGGCATCAGACATCTGGTTTCCTCCGTGACTAACACGCCCTTCTTTCTAGGTCAACCCCGATATCGTCGGAGGCCTCATTGTCGAGATCGGCGACCGGACCATCGACCTCAGCGTCTCTGGCAAGATTGCCAAGCTCAACAAGCTTCTCACTGACACTTTGTAAAAACACACACACACAAAATCTTCCATCATACTAGCATGAAGAAATCCTAATCCTCCTTCTCCCCCACACCGAACCAAACCTCCTCCCTTATTTTCTCTTTGTGTGCGTGTGTGTGTCTATCTTGTAAACTTGATTGGGCGGGGGTTTAGTGGGAAGGAGGAGGGTGAGGAGGGAGAGAACGGTCCGGCTCTTTCCACGTGTAACGACAAAATTCACGTGAGACAAAAAGCTGGATTGAGATGTTGGTTGGCCGCTTGCTCCCCTCCCTCGGGGCGAGAGGACAATTAGAGGGAAGCCCGAATGAGACGAAAGCTGTGCATAGTTCTGTCTACAATAGAAGCATTCACGGAACCCCTTTTCTACCACACACACACACACACACACTAGTCTTCGTGAAGGCCACCTCTCTCTCTCTTCCGGTCTGGAACTGAAAAAGTGGCGGATGCACCAGCTGTTGGTATTCGCTCTCACCGCGATCCCTCCATATCGTAACGACGGCACGCTCGACCGACCTTCCAAATGTAAAGAAAACATGATTCAACAACGAACGATCAATCCCTAAGTACTACCCCCCCCCCCCCCCCCCCCTTCAAAGATAAGTCTTTTGTGATTCCCGTGCCTTGTAGAAGCTCGTTTTCTCAACATCAAGCGGCTGCCTGAAGATCCTGACAAAGTTGTGCCTCACTGGGCAAACCAAGTGTCTTGGGCTGGCCATGATTGACTCTGTATTACATCGAGGTCAAACGACCTTGTTTGTGCCACGTGTCTCAGCCCAGCAAGCCATGTTTTCTATCCCCTTCTACACTGGACCTTCGCCTGGAAATGGCTGATAGCTTGATTTGGCGAGAAATGTGTGGTACGTATGTGCGAACGTTAAGAGGATGGTTCACAGTACGGGGCATCTCAAGATGAACGAGCACCAGAAGCCTTTTTGGAAACCCAATCTACGTGTATTAACCCTAGGAACCTCTCTACCTCTGCAGTCTAACAGTCCTGTATATGGCTCTATGTGCATTGATGGCAGTTTTTTGGGTTTCTCATCATGCTCACCACGCAAGGAAAACTCCAAGGATGCACTCGTACTCTTCTTTTACCCGCCCACATCCAAGATGCACAAACACCAGCCTGTCCCTCGACTTTTTCGCGTTTCCTGACGATTGGAGGGAAGCTCTAGACACCAGCCTCATACTCGTTGTCAGTTCCACCCGGGTGCTCTTTGTCCTCCTTGAACCTCTCCAGCTGATCCGAGATGTAGCGATGCATATGTGCGTCAGCCTCCGACTTCTCTCTCATCCTCTGCCGAAGCTTCTCAGGGTCATCCAACGTGGCCGAGTTGCTCAGTGAGTCGTCGCCATTAGTCTCGTCAAAGTCACTCCTTGCACCGATGGATCTCGCCGTTGATGATCTGCGCATCCGCGGCTTGCCACCAGGACCAGGCGTCATCGAGCCACGGCGATCAGTGCCGCGGGCAAAGATGTCATCAAAGTAGTGAGACATGCCCGCCGAGGGAGTGCGGGGAGTATGAGGCAGACGGCAGTTGATACTGGAAACCCATGTTAGCAATCATGTTCAGAGGTGGCAGAGTAGAGACAATCTTACCCAGTGTCGTGAATCATACGAGCCATCAAACCGGTCCAACCGCACTGGTGGGTAGCGCCGAGTCCACGGCCACTGTCGCCGTCGAAGAACTCGTAGAACCAGAGGTAGTCCTTCCAGTGAGGGTCGAAGTCCAGAAGATCATTTCCGGCGTTGATGCTACGCCGGCCCTCGTCGTTACGCGTCATCAAGTGCTGCAGACGATGCTGAATCTCCTCGGAGACGTGGCCCAAATGCATGTAGTCGCCACTTCCCGTGGGACATTCGACTTGGAACTCGTGTCCGTAGAACAAGAAGAATCGCTGAAGAGACTCAACCAGAAGGAAGTTGACACACAACCAAATGGGGCCTCTCCAGTTACTGTTGCCACCAAACAGACCGCTATCAGAGTCACCGGGAACGTAGCCGACGGAGAAAGTTTGGCCATTAACCTCCATTGAGAAGGGGTGCTCCTTGTGGTACTTTGACAAGGAACGAATTCCGTGCTCACTGAAGAACTCGTCCTCATCAAGCATGCGGTAGAGAATCTTCTCAAGCCTGTCCTTGCTGACAATTGACAAGAGAATACGATTGCCCTTTCCACGCTTGGCGATACTGGCCATGTTTCGCTCGGCCAAATCGCAGCGGTTCTCCATGAACCAATCAACCCTCTTTTTAAATGAGGGGAGCTTGTTGATAAGCTCAGGCTCAAGAGTCAAGGTTGCGTAAAGCGGAATCAATCCGACAAGAGAGCGGACTGGGAGCTGCTGGATCCAGGGGCCGCCCCATGAAATGGCATCGTAGTAGAAACCATCCTCATCATTCCAGAGCGACTTCTCGTCTTTTTGGCCAGTCCTGAAGGTCATGGCGTCACTGATGAAGATGAAATGCTCAAAGAACTTGGAAGCAATATCCTCGTATGTGCGTCGGTGCTTTGCAAGCTCAAGAGCAATGTTGAGCATGCTGAGACAGTAGAAGGCCATCCATCCGGTACTGTCGGCCTGCTCCAAAGAGCCGCCGGTTGGGAGAGGCTCAGAGCGGTTGAAAAGACCAATGTTGTCGAGACCGAGGAAGCCTCCCTCGAAGACGTTCTTGCCATCGGCGTCCTTGCGGTTAACCCACCAGGTGAAGTTCAGCAACAGCTTCTGGAAAACTCTCTCGAGAAAGTCCAAATCCTGGCGTCCGTAGAGCTTGCGCTCAATCTTGAACACTCGGAACGTGGCCCAAGCATGAACGGGAGGGTTTACGTCGCCAAAGTTCCACTCGTACCTATGCGGCGTTAATTCCAGTCTACTTCGGTCATCTGGAGAGCAACTTACGCTGGCAGCTGGCCGTTGGGATGGCAGTACCACTCTCTGGTGAAGAGATCAAGCTGCTTCTTGGCGAAGTCTGGATCCATCATCGCCAATGTGATGCAGTGGAAAGCACTGTCCCACGCAGCAAAGAAGGGGTATTCCCAAGAGTCGGGCATAGACAAAATATCGTCGCAGTGCATATGTTTCCACTGAGAGTTGCGAATGTCTTTTCTGCTGGGGGGCGGAGGGGGTTGTGTCGGGTCACCATTCGCCCATTGGTCCCAGATGAAGAGGTAATGCTGCTTAGTCCACATCATTCCGGAAAAGGCCTGACGCTGAATGTTGCGCAGATCGTCTGCCATGGGGAGGGGGCTGAGGCGGTAGTAGAAGTCGTCGGCCTCAGCGATCCTCAGATCGACCAGGTCATCAAAGTCACCTTCGTCGAAGTAGGTCTGGTTCTTCTTGGAGAAGCGGAAACGGACGACGGCGCACTCGCCGGGAGGAACACCACCATCCTCGTTGAAGCTGAACCAGGCGGCGCACTTGGTGCCCTTCTGTGCTGGGTTGACGGCCCCCTTTTCCTTCTCGCAAATGTGACGATGGAAGGCGTCCTTGACATACGGAGTCTTGTTGTCCTGCTCGTACAATAGCTCATAGTTGGTGTCGTTGTCGGTAAACAACATCTGGGGTATTACGTCCTCGCCGCTGGTTCCAACACCGGGAGAAGGTGACATCAGGAAGTAACGGTCCCCGAGCTTGTGATGCTTGGACTTGGCCAGGCCCTCGCCAACGTTCTCGATGGATGGCTTCTTGTCCTCGGGCTCCCGGCCCCAGGCCCAGGTGTTGCGGAACCACATTTGCGGCACAATGTGAAGTGGTGCCGGATCGGGACCTCTGTTCCATGCGGTAACACGGAACAGGATCTCCTCGGGGTCGTCCGTCTCCTTTGCCGTCTCGATGAAAATATCCCAGTACCTGTCTTCGTCGAAGATGCCCGTGTCAACGATCTGGTACTCCTTGTCTTCCTTGCCTCTGCGTGCATTTTCTTCCAACAGGTCCTTGTAAGGGAACTTCTTCTGCGGGTACTTGTAGAGGAACTTCATGTAGGAATGCTGCGGGCGGATTGTCAGTATGAGCAGTTGGGGACCAGCTCTTTCCAACTTACTGTCTACGATGTCTGTTAGCTATTGAACTACAAATATTCACAGCAACCTTGAACTACTTACGGGGGTATTGTCAACGTGGAAGTGAGCTTCCTTGACACTCTCGCCATGGTTACCCTGGGGGTTTGAGAGACCAAATAATCTCTCCTTGAGGAAATCGCTGTCGAATTATCAGCTCTTTGTACGAAGCATAACGAGCCGACGAGCGCTTGACTAACTCTTCCTCGTTCCAGAAAGAAAATCCAATGTTTTGGAAGCCGTGGGTATCAGAAACGCCGGCAATTCCATCCTCACCCCATCTGTAGGCTCGAGATCGTGCGTCGTCATGGGTAAAGTCTGGGGCATGCTGTCAGCGGATTGCGACTGGAGCTCGTGGGGAATGGCGGGGTGTGCTCACGACTCCACGCGTCTCCGTCGGGACTGTAATCCTCTCGCACTGCGACACGGCTTTGATTAGATTATGTTTGTTTCGCTAACGGCCGGATTGACAACTGCAGCAGCAGCACCAACCGCAGCAGCAATGCGTAGCAGCTGGGTCTGAATCTGAAGCTGGAGCTTGAGCTGCCACTCACCAGTGGCCCATTGGCGTTCGGCAACGTAAGGGCCCCATTTCTTCCAGTACTTCTCGCGTCTGCGGTCTTCCTTGAGACGCTTCTCCTCCTCGGTAAGGTACTCGTGACCGTCAAAGACAACCATGGTGGGCGAATAGGCACCTCGTAGCGTTGGATAGACAGAGCACGCCCTTCACGACAGCGAAAGCAGCGTCGTTGAGGGTTGAGGGATTTCCAGGGCGTAGGATTGAGGGCGAGTTGTGGGCTTGTGGCGAGAGAAGAGAGAGAGAAAGAGAGAGAGAGAGGGTGTAGGTTCGGCGGGACGAAGTGCAGGGTTAGAATGGAGGTGACCTTTAGTAAGAACCAGAGACCCTAGCCAGCAATGCCTACCGAGAACAGCACGAGCAGAGCACGTC